CACTCCATCGCTGCATGACGTCCGATTTTTCTGAGAGGACGTCATTGGTTCTCGAAAGCACTTTGTTCATTCTTAACAGACCGACTGTGGTTCTGTTACTGCCGTCCGGTAGCGCCAACCCGCGAACAAACCCCTAAATCTAGTAATTACTAGATAATGATCCGTTCCCAGGTCAGCACCCCTGAACACTCGTGTATCCATCACCTGTTTTCGCAGTCGGTCATCCACCAGGAACAAATCAATCATACTTCTCTCATTCTTTCTTTCTCTAGTGTACATATGGATTTTCCTGTGATTAAACATAGTGTTTGTCACAAGAAGACCCTTTTCCTCGCATACAGCCAGTATAAGCTTGCCAGCATCATTAACCCTTTTATCGCCAAACTTTCCAAGCACCGACTCGTATCCTGGTCGAGCGATACCTACCCATCCATTCAAATCACCACATACAACAGTTCTTTCGTTTCCCTTAACCAAATCTAGAACTTCTCTTACATTCTCCCAAAATTCCTCCAGCTCAGCCCTGGACGACGAAGCTACCGGCGCATAAACAGCCAAAAGGAATAACTTCGTTAGTCCCATTTTGAAGCGAACCCAGAGAAGTCTCGAGTTCACAACCTTGTATTCTGTCATAAGATCGACCAACCGGGATGACAACAACACTCCCACTCCCTGGCAGGCGTTCTCGCTTTCCGGGACTCCGGACCATATAGCTAACGTCCCGCCAGGGAGCTCTTCAGTACCACTGCCTTTCCGTTTGGTCTCCGACATACACACGACATCTAATTCTCTTTCTTTCATTATTTCGATCAACTCATTCGTCTTATCTCTCATGCCCCCTCTAACATTCCACGTGCCAACTCTGCACTCCGTCCTCCACCTTCCGCCGTGTCGGGCTGTGTGTGACAGGTGGCGGTCCCCATCGTCGCTTTGCGCACTGCATTCCACACCAACGGGGACGAGCTGGTGTGCGTCGCCTTGGGGGGACGCCCTGACCCTCGTTTGCATGGTTCGCAGCTGTGTAGAATTGCAGCCCTGAAAAGGGCTGGCAGGCGTCGCGACGAGCACGCTTCTACAATGACCCCCATGCGTTATAACGCGGGTTCGGTTAAATCTGGTTGAATTTGATTGGATTAACCTAATGACAATTGACTTAACTATAATTAATGAGTAATAAACGAGCGTAATTTCCTGGACTCTGAAGTTTCTGTGACGGCTTGCCCCTTCGATGGATCCCATACTGGAATAGAGGTGAAGCCTTGGGATCTGCTGTTCGGCAACCAGCGGGAAGTCAGGTTACATAATATAACACGTACTGAGCATAACACTATCACACACATATACTATATGTGTGTGATAGTGTTATCTTCCTAGGTTTGACCCTACGTCGACGAAATAGGTAAGTCTTGTTTGGTTCCTTTTTAACCGCTATTGTCTCATATTCCACAAGCCATTTAGGCCGACCTCCTGTTACTCGTCGAGTTGAACCCCCTGGTGGGCCCGTGTTCTACGACCTTTGCCCGGGTAACTAGAGGCCGTAACAATAGCAGAGTAAAAAATTAGAGATTGTGGTGTTTGAAATTTGTCATCTATGAGAGTGAATTTGATCTGTGTACTCTGTAACAAATAACTATATAGAAAAAAATGTGAAAATGACATTTCGCCATTTTTGTTTGTGTACTGGTTAGGAACTCGATCAAAAATTTGATCATTTTTCTGTTTTTATACGTTATTTCTAAAAAAATGTGAAAATGACTATTCGCCATTTTTGTTTGTGTACTGGTTTGGGAACTCGATCAAAAATTTGATAATTTCTCCGTTTTTATACGTTATTTCTAATGTTATTTTACATCAAATTAATTGTGGAGATATTTTCTTTAAGAAATATGTATCATTACGACGATTCAAAAACGTTTACATATAATAATTTACCTCGAAATTCACTATACGCGATTATCGTTTATTGATTATATGTTGTTTAAAAAGTATTCTTATCAGTTTTATTTTGTGTTAAATGGATGCTAAATATAAAATAATGCTTCAGTATTGATAGCAATTTATTAACGAAATATCTGTTGAGATGTGTCTGGAAATTATTAATACTTATTTTTATTTATTTATTAAAATAATAAATAAATAAAAATAAGTATACATTTATCTATATTGAGTACTAGTTATTCCCCGCGATCTCGCCCGCGTGGAATATGGATTTCATGGGTTTTAATTTTTTTGCGCGGAACCCTAATTCTTTTTCTAAAACAAAAGTAGTTCAAGTTATTCCTTATATCATCAGCTATCTGCCAGTGAAAGTCCCGTCAAAATAGATCCAGCTGTTTCGGAGATTAGCTGGAACAAACAGACAGACAGACAGACAGACCGACAGACAGACAAAAAATTTAAAAATTGTGTTTTTGTTACTAGTACTTTCATATGCATTTAATAAAAAGCTGTTATTTTAACATTACAAACAGACACTTCAATTTTATTTATTTGTAGATATAGATATAAGATATTATTCATATTGGTGTCATTTTAAAGGGAATATCATGTACTATTATAATAATAAAATAATTGATAGGACTATCACACCACTAAGGGAAGTGAAATTTTGATATAGGTAAATTCATGTCTTTATCTTGAATTTGATTGCTCAAAAAACACGATAGTATAATTTTGACTCGATCATAATTATTTGCGAAAACACCTCTAAAAAACCACTATAGTTGAAATTACAACGAAATTACTTAATCTATATGCTTCGAAATCACTCAAATATATTCATAACATTAATATTCATAATTTACTTGCTCATTATTTTGATTACTCAAATCAATAATTTTTACAAAAATATTTTAAAGTTTCTGAGAATTTCTAAGCGCTTTTAATCGTCGCTACGCTATTTTAGACCTTATGAGGGCGTTTTTTTCAAGTTTTTATAGAAATTATGCATTCACTCGGATCAGTCCGGCGATAGCCCTTTCGAGACCTACTTATGAACGGAAATAAACTGGGATAAAGTAACTGCAGGCTGGATAAATTTCCATTGCTTTTGTTATTCAAGGAAGTAGTTGAAAATATAAAAAAATGAAAGAGAAAACTAGACTAGATAGATATATAGATAGCATAATTACGTATATATATTTTATACTTACTCGTATTTTAGGCCAGTGCTAGACTAAAACAATTCTGCTTGTGCACACAGTCGGTGTCACACAGTCTTAAACAAAGCCTAATCACTCATCTCTTGAAGATACTTACACTGTAATCAGATGGAAATATAGACATTGCCCAATTGTTCCACTCCTTTGCTGTACATATACAAGTAAACCGATAAATTTGAATGCGTGGAATGTGTAACTAATGAGCTGAAGATCCATGTAGAAAAAACTTAAATTACGGAGACCCTCTGAGTGTTTGATATTAAAACAAGTGAATCTTAAATAAATATTATGTAATCATTGTGATCGTGTAACTTCTCAATATCTTGAAAAATCGAGTTCACATTCACATATTGAGACATGCTCACAAAACTTCGGATTCCAACCCGGGACCAGAATATGATCAGCATCTAGACCGATAGGGACCGTTAGTCGGTAGAAAATACTGTATTAAATAATAATAGTGTACATAAATATAGGTAACATTATAAGATAACATAAAATGAATTGATTTACATACAAATTAATTTAATACAATGAAAGAAAATTTTTATATGAAAAGTGAAAAAATGCGTACATATAAAGATATTTTTATATCAATACCGAAACCCCTGCTACGTGTGCGCGTAACGGGGAATATTACTTTTTGTGTTCCAAATCATACTAACTTGCTCGTGTAACTTAGATGCTCTTGCGACCGATTTCACTCCGGAACACGGCAGTGAGAGCACTGCTACTTGGCAGAAATAGGTAAGAGGTAGGTATTATGTATAGGTAGGTGCCACACCTACCTATATATAATACGTACTCCCAGACAAAAAAAAAGAAACATGGCTAATTTAAGTAAATTTCCCGAGAAAAAATATGTATGCTGTGTATTACAGTCGTTTAAATACTAGTATCCGAATTAGGTTTTAAAATGAGTCAAAGTCAGAAAAATGATTTGGATAAGTGGTAGAGCCATGCTGCAGTTATACCAGTAGCATAGCTGTAGCACGAGTGGGTCGGCTCGACCGGGGAATAACCACGCTCTCACAGAATACCAGCGTAAAATAGGAGCTTAACGTCGCTGGGTTCCGCATGGTGAGTGTAGAGATACGGAGACACTTTTTTGCTGGAAACGAGGAATTCCATCTTAGTCCTTAGTAAGGCAGATGCGTTATCATCTTAGGGTGACAACGCATCTGCCTTTTTGTTCGTACTTGATAATAGATGTAGATGTCTATGGTTCACAGCAACCACGTACAATCTAGCGGACTGTGTGTTCGTTTGTCACCCTAATCACACCCGTTTGGCACCCTATCCTACAAAAAAAATGAAGCTCGAATTTCATCAAGTGACAACAATTGCTCTTGCATCGCTCGCGCATCAATCAAAATGATAATACAATTGATATTATCTTCTAATTCTATTGCTTTTATTACGTGGTAGAGCCATGCTCCATTATGGTCGTAGCACAAATAGATTGGCTCGACCAGATGAGGGGCATGCTATCACACAATACCAGCTCAAAATTTATTAAGGCTACCCTTAACCCTTAAATTCATAGTGTTGGATGCAGCCTACGTAACATTCTGATGGCTGTATCTAGTAAGCCTATGCCTAAAAAAAACAAATCTCGTTGTATTGTGTTGGCGACATACTAGTTTTTCTATTGTCATGTTGGCAAAACGTAAATGTTATTTGAATTTAAAATTGACAGCTGAAATTTTTTTGGTAAGAACCGGTTGGAAAAAGTTTGTTGGCGAAGTTAACGTGTAAACAGATTTTGTTAGATTTTTCAAGGTAAGTGATGCTATTTTATTTGTATTTCGTTTGAAGATATAGGCCGTATCCTACATTATGCATTTAGTACTAAAATACGGTACAATTTATGATATATTGCTACAGGGGTATAAATTGATGTTTCAGATGGCTAATCGCAGGTGGACTGGTAGTGATGACTAAATAAGCGCCTGCATAGCTTACTTAGATATAAATGAGTCAGAAGATGGTGCTGAAGAAGATGAAACCGAGGAAAATGATGAGGAGGTGCAAACTTACAGGGACCGAGCGGATCTGCTACGGATTCTTGAAGATGAACGAGAAGGATATGAAGAAAGTCCTACCCTGGAACAAGAAGGTCCAGGGCCCGATCCCGCTGAAGAGGATCCACCTCTATTGGAAGACCCACAACCTGAGAAGGAACCTGGTGTTCACAGTGTGCAAGCTCGGCGTCAAGAAATGAGGAAATTATTGTGGAAAAAGCAGAGTATGTGGATCGACTGCCAAATAATAAGTTACCAAATCCAAAATCATCCATGAAGAAACCTATAGCAAGAGGATCGTATGAAGAACACATGACAACTAACGATGGAACAAATTTATCCGTTACCATGTGGAAAGACAACAAAGTGGTTACATTGTTATCAACCTATGTTGGGGCGGAGCCAGTCCAAAAAACAAATAGATATGATAAGTCTAAAAAAGAAAAAAATTCTAATTGACTGCCCACTGATAGTCAAAGATTACAACTCCCATATGGGAGGCGTAGATTTGATGGATAGTTATATAGGAAGATACCATATAACCATAAAAACAGAAAATGGTATATGCGATTGTTCCATTACTGTAGGACCTGGTCATGATTAATTCATGGTTAGCTTACAAAAAACTTGAGTCACAAAAAACTAGTTCAAATGAGAAACTGTGCAACCTGGGCGTCTTTCGTCTAGAAGTAGCTGAAACCCTTTGCCTAATGGGAAAAAGTGATATAAAAAGAGGAAGGCCAAGTTCAGCTCTAGAGCAGGAAATTCAGGCGAAAAAGAGGAAAGCCGTTTCCCAAGTTGCACCAGTAAAAAATGTTCGACTAGACCAAGTGGCACACTGGCTAGTTTTTTTTTGTGACAAAAGTAACAGGTGTAAGATGCCTAAGTGCGCTGGTTTTACAGAAACAATATGTGAAAAATGCAATATATTTCTTTGTTATAATAAAAGAAATAATTGATTTAGAGAATATCATAATAAATAAGTTTAATTCATACATTTTGTCTTTTTAATTTTAAGTAAAATCTTCCTGCATAAAGCTTCTTAGTACATATAAACTTTTTGCTTGGAGTGCATAATGTAGGCTACATCCTATGGAGACAAAAACCAGTAAAACATGGACTGAATTTTCTCAAATATTTTTTAATTATTTTTCCATTCATTTACATACCCTCAGACATGATTTACATATTTTTTTCAAATAAACTTAAAAAATCATGCATTAAAGGGTTAACCGTCTAAAATGTTTGCATGCATGGATATATAGATGTAAAAGAAACGAACAAGGTAAGTTAAAGTAGTACCAATTAGAAGTTTGTAGTATTTGACTACCCCTCTTGGTGATAGGCGTGGCAGCTTATATATTCCTGTGTGAGAAATACATGTACCGTCAAGGGTCAAGGGCGTCAAAGGTTCGAGATGGCAGGCTACTACGAAATATCCTAGGTATGTAATATCCATGTTCCCCAGTAGATTATTACAGGCAGGTATGGAAGAAGAGTAACAAACAACGTATTGGTTTCGTTTCCAGTCCGAGCGCGAGCGAGCTGATGAACGCACGCACTCTGCGAGCATTCTGTTGTGCACAGTTGTGTGATAAAATGACGTCGAGTACAGTGAAGTGCGGAAACTGTAACATAGTTATTTCGGAGCTTTTGGCTTTTGTACAAAACAAAGCCGACATAATGGATGAAGTCAGTATTGTGCGTCTGATTTCTACCACCTACTCCGAAGAGGAAATTACACGGGCCAAGAAATTGCTGTTTGAGGTGACTGATTTATCCAGGCGCATGATAAATCGGAAAAAGGTTGGCAAAAGTGTAAGGAACATTGAAGATATTATCGCGGTCATTATAGAAACTGACCATGATAAACTTCCAATCTATGTTACGAGAGACCTACAGAAATTACCCCCCGTGAAATTTGATCATATTGATTACGAGAGCGGCCCCATAGGACTGCCGCACATATCTACTGAAGAGTACCGATCTATAAATCAGGGTAACATCGCACAAAATAATGAAATTAATGAAAAAACTGCGGCGGTAAACACACCTGTTGATATTGCCAATGACTCAGTTGTTTCGTTCATGCAAACGTCCTTGACGCACGGCAAGTCGGACTCGACAAGTGAAGAAACACAGCGCGTGGAGGCCCCGACTGCGGTTTCCACGGGATCGAAGACCTACGACGTGGCTACAGCGGCGCCTGTGCATCACTCCGGCACCGCGGTTTCGAACAGTGATAGTAAATTAGTCATCGCAGCGACGGCCGTTACTGCGAAAGGCGAGCGTAAACTAATGGCAGATGTAGTACAACACGGAAATTGGAAACCAGAGAAACCTAAGGAGGATTGGATTTTAGTGCAACGCAAACGTCTTCGGAATAGATTTATTGGTATGAAAGGGAAAGCTGAGTTGAGTCCTGAATGTAAGTTTAAGGCGGCAGAGGTAAATATACCGTTCTACATTTATAATATTGATGTGGAATCTTCTGCTAATGATATCACTAATTATATTAAGAGACAGGGGTTGATGTATTGTTACAAAAGATAGATATGAAATTGAAAAAAAGATTATGTAGCTTATAAATTTCTAATCCCTAAGGATAAATTGTCTATATTTATGAATGAGAACCTATGGCCAACAGGTGTAGCTTTTCGCAAGTTTGAAAGTTTTAATAAAAAAACCGAGGAGCTAAATTAACAAATAAATATTATAATATGAATAATTAAAATCGAATAATAATAAAAATACCAACATGGTTTCTAAATTTATTAGTTTTAATTGTAAAAATGTGAATAGATCTATTGAATGTATTCGAACTCTCTGTAAAACTGCAGATATTATAGCATTGCAGGAGACATGGCTATTCCCTACGGAAATACCAATGCTGGGTGATATTGACGAAGACTTTGGTTATCATGGAAAGTCTTCTATGGACGCAACTAGCCTAGTACGAGGCCGTCCATACGGGGGTAGCTCTCCTATGGAGAAAGTCTATCTTTAATACCGTGTCTGTGGTGCAATGTAGTAATAATCGAATCGTGGCTGTAAGAATCGATTTGGCGGATAGATCAATTTTATATATGCCCACTAATATAATGATTTCTTATATTTACGCGAACATTGCACATGATTAAAACTACTTTTACGGATTTTGTCGCGTTTATTTTTACTTTTTATTTTTAATTCCCGACGTTTGTGATCATATCCTAGACGGCCCCAACCATTACATCAGATTTGATAGACCACAAATCCTCGCGAAAGAACACCGATTCCTACCAAGGATGATACGTGAGGCTATTGAAATTAAAAAACATCCTAATTTCAATAGAGAAGGAGGCTGGGTACTACCACCTGCTTGGGATCCTATAATCAATAAAATTAAAACTAAACCCAAGCATACCACTGCAAGACCTCAGAACATAGTCAGTTCATTTTGCATAGATCGGACCATAAACAATAATTAAAAAAGCTGAAGGTACTCCGGGTTTAACAATGACATCGGGACGTCAGTCATCTCAGTCCCCCGTGACCATGGGTGCTGGAAAGCACCCGAAACGTCGGGAATTAAAAATAAAAAGTAAAAATAAACGCGACAAAATCCGTAAAAGTAGTTTTAATCATGCCCACTAATAGTTACGATAATTTAGCTGAGTTTTGTGAATGTATGAGCGAAATGGCAGCGATAGTAGAAAGTTGTAATTTAGAGTATGTCTTTATACTAGGTGATTTTAATTCAGATCCTATGGAGTTATTTGGTAAAGAGATGCAAAATTTTTGTATGGATCAGAAGTGGTATTGCGCGGATATTTGTAAACTGGGGGGTGATTCAGGCACGTATACTTTCGTTAGTGATGCATATGGCACTACGAGCTGGCTAGATCATTGCCTGGTAATCGATGCGGCTTGGCGGTCTGTAGATAGTGTTGACATTTACTATGACGTCTACTGGTCAGACCATCATTCACTGGTCCTATAAATTAATCTGGGTACGATTAGGCCAACTATACCTACTCTTTTAGAAAGCCAAGTTACAAATAAGGTTATTTGGGGGGAGAGATCAGTATCAAGTAGAGTCATACCGTAGGAAGTGTACAGAATTATTACGTGATATTGACTTTCCCGAGGAATTAAGCGCATGTTGTGATAAATTATGTTCTAATATTGAGCACAGAATGGACATTGATAATCTTTACAATAAAATTGTAAACGTGCTTAGGGAGGCTGCTGAGTTTAGTTGTGCTGCACTGAATATTAAAAAGAAGAAGCGTTATGATGCTGGCTGGAACAAGTTTGTGAAGGGTACGCATGAGACAGCTAGGCAGACTTTTCTTAACTGGGTCTGGCATGGTCGGCCAAGAGCCGGTCGTCTATATCAGTATATGTGTGAGTCACGTAAAATGTTTAAATCAAAATTAAAATCATGTCAAAAAATCAGGAACAAATAAAATTAGACATTTTGGCTTCCCAACACAAAGCAAAAATATTTTGGAAAGTTCTGGAAACACACAAAAAAGCTAGGCCCTAAGCCGGCTGTTTCTGTTAGTGTGGGTGGATTATGTGACCCAAAACAGATAGCTAATCTATTCAAGGACTATTTTAAAGTAGAGGCAGTATTACGGTAAGAAGCAGAAGTGGGGGTGGGCGATGGTGGGGTTGTCGGGACTGGTGAACCTATCCGTATTACAGCTAACGATATAAAGCTGGTACTAAAGCAGATGACCAGAGGAAGGTCACCGGGTCACGATAACCTCAGTGTCAAGCACCTTCATAATGCAGGACCACATCTTCCAAGGGTTTTGTCACTATTATATACTTTCTGTATTCGGCACTCTTACTTACCATTCGAGCTAATGAGGACCGTTGTTGTACCTATTTTAAAAAAAACAAGACTGGAGATATTTCAAACAAGACAAATTATAGGCCTATTTCTCTGGCAACTGTATTAGCTAAGTTGCTTGACGGCTTGCTTGAACGACGGCTTAGTAACTTCATACAATTAAATGATGCGCAGTTTGGCTTTCGACCTGGCCTATCAACAGAAAGTGCTATACTGTCGCTGAAGCATACCGTCAAATACTACACCCAGAGACAAACGCCAGTGTATGCTGCATTTCTGGATCTCTCAAAGGCATTTGACCTGGTTGACTATGATCTGCTTTGGTCAAAATTACGTGAGATAGCTGTTCCAAATGAATTAATCACCACGTTGAAATATTGGTATGGCCATCAATTTAACCAGGTCAAATGGTCTGATGCGCTATCTGACGAATA